CGACCAAAGTTCTTAATGAATTTTTTCAGAATTCGACCGAAATCAATTGCACAAAAAACTGAACATATAAAATGACACATATCCAAATTTGAACTCCAAACATTAATAGTTAAAGTAAATTGTAATTAGTCGTTGAGGTGAGTACAAACACACTGGTATGAATTCATAAAAAAATCAACGAATTCGATTCTCTTTCGAAGCTATCTTGTCCGTTTTGTGTGAATCAGATACAAAAAATGGTATAGTTTTGTTCATTTTACACTACATTCGCGCAATGGCAATATTGAAGAGAAGATGATATAATAATGACTGTTACTGTTCGTTCGCTGATTTATTTAAATAAATAAATATGTTATAAATACAATTTTAAATTTCTTCAATGATGATAATTATGTAGAATTTTAGTATCGCTATTTTTGGATGTAGTATGTAGTAAGCTCCTTATTGGTATTTAGAACAACGATGATAACCGTGTATTGTGTTCTGGTTCATATTATTCCATAAACTTCAGAATGTGTTTCGATATCAAATAACCATTGTTGTCATGTGAAAAGATGAACGATACTTGAGCAATTTTACGTATTTCTTCAAGGGTTATCATTTAAAAAAAATAGTAATCGATTTTCATATCATTTTTCAGTCTTGCAACATTTCGGAATGTTAAAATCAAAACCTCATTCATGTTACATAAATTCCGGATCATTTTATCATTATTTCAATATGAATCATTATGGTACCTTTTTCTCAAAAGTTTAATTTTTTATTATGGCCTCCAATATTCGAAGACATTTTTTATATTTGCCAAAGGTTATACTATATATAGTTAAGGTTATTAATACTGAAAAATGTCATTTTGCCAATTCTTGATAACAATTCTATGTCAAGATCTAATGCGTTCCTTAAACAAATTTCAATGGATCTGTATAAATAATATTCAATAAAGGCCAATATAAGGTTAAGTTTTTATTTCGTATTTCAAATTAAACGCCTCATTTGGCAATATTTCAATTACAAAGAGAATTAGGTAATTTGATTTAAAAAATCAGCAAAAGATTTTTTTTCAATTTAGTTTTCTTAGTAATTCTGAACAGAATTACAATTTCGAAATTCGAACTTCGAATTTTCGCCTTTGATTTCAATCATTATAACATTTGACAGTTTATTGCTGTGAGTGTCAAAACGAAGTGATCATTTTTTGTTTACCTTATAGAATGTGGTTTTCGCGTCATTGTTTTTAGTTCATACAGTAGAATTCTTTTTATGATTCTTACGCAAACCATTAGGATTTAGAAAGAAACGGTGAATTTTTGTGTTGTTTCTGCTTTGATTTTAAAATAACAGAAAATTTATAAATTTACGCAGTAATAAATCCAAATATCAGCAATATATATCATTGTATCAGTGTGAAATAAAGTCGGATTGAATAATATCCAATTGAATTTTAACCGATGACTTTGAAAGATGACAATCGCATCGAAACAGACACAGAAGTCGGTTTCGATTTTATAAAACTGCTCAGCTGAGTGACGACGAAGCCATTGCAATATAAGAGAAAAAAAATTTAAGTAAAAACGCATTTGGTAAATTTAATTTGTGAACAAATTAAAGTGATTGAAACTGTGGAAAATTACAATGTCGTTTTTTCTTTTAATTTCTTAGGTGAATACGAATATCCAATGAGCATTATCACTGGGATACGAAACGCTAGATTCGAAATGGAAAAGCCGAAAAGATCACACGATTGTTCGTTTTTGAAGAAGAAGATGATCGTGATCAAATTGTAATGACTTTTTGGTAGTGCATCACCTCATAGAACATGAACGAGTAATGGTATTGAAACATACATGGTCACACAATATTCACTTCCAGAAAGGGGTAATAATTCTATGGACGTGTATTGAAGAATATGCCTTGAAAAAATCAAATAAAAACTTCGGCTTGCTGCTTGAAATATTTTTCTTGTCGACTTACGGTGTCTATAGTCTATACAGATTACTTTTACGGTGAGTTTCATCATACTTATTTTTTTATAGCGTCGTATTGTCATTTTTCAAATAACTTCCAAAAGCAATTCGGGGCGTGTGGTATAAGAAAGGTGTGAGTTGAGTACAAAATCAACCAACACCCATCACATGCAACGATAAATAAAATGATATTCGTGAAATGAGCTATATAAACTACTCAATGAATGAAGCTGATTTTGTACAAAGATATTAATTAAAATTGATACAAATTGAAAATTATTAAAATATTCTATGTATGTGCTTTTGTTATATCACTCGGTAGGTGAATGATTACACGTGGTGTTCAAGCGGAAAATTTATTCAAACGTACGGAGACCATGTCGAAATGTTAACGATCAGTCTTTACCATTGTATCGGAGTCAAAATCGGAATATCAACAATGTTCCATTACCAACTGCAACCCTAGAAGAAGCAGCCCCTTTCAACAACATCACTCAAGCAATACATCATTTAGAAAATAGTTTATAGCTATTATTTGTTAGTCGCTAGGCTTGATTAAATTGTGGCCTTGCCGAAGTATGAGTTAACTGTTGGTATAAATTGTACTCGATAAGTGGAGTTAATTGCATATAGCATATTGAATATTGATGATTATGAATCAATCCATTTTTTATATCAATCTAATTGGATTGTTTTTTTCTCCCTTTTTTCTTTCCATTGTGACGTTGAATTTGTTGAAACTACACATATGCCTGACAATGTATGATTTTGTGTAAATAATTGTTTCTTTGGTACAAAGAAAATTCCCCAAAATTTGATTCATCAATTAGGATACAACATCTATTGCATTGCGATCAAAATAAACCAAAAAATGTTGTTAACAAAATAAAAGACGAAATAGTTTAAATGGAAATATCTTTTTTTTTAAATTTCTTGAGACCTGATTGTAATTAGTAAATATGTTGATTCAAGCGCCGTATTCCATATAAACATTTAACTGATGCTAATTTGTCAAAAAAATATTACACGTATGTTGGCTTAATCATTGCTAATTCTAAGGATTTTTACTTGTGTGTTCATTCCATCAATAAGATCAATTGATTAAGTGTAAAATCGGTTAATCTGTCTTTCGTAACTCTTTCCCTCCTCTGTTGGAATTGTTTGAACCATTACCCTAGATCATTTGTTTACTGTCATGCAGTTTTTGAGTATGCATCAATTCGCACACATTCTCATCGGAATGAACACAAAAAGAAAAAAAGAGAATAAAACAACAACGCATACATATATAAAACAACACGAATGTGTTAAAATATTTCAAATATAAATATGTGAACGTAACTCTCCAGCATGTATAGTGTATCAGTCGATGAGTAACAACAAGCTAAATTTGTTTTATTTGGATTCATTTTTATTTTAAAATTAAAAACTTACAAAAACTATAGTTTGGAAAAATTCTTTTGGAAATAAAGGCTTCTATGGAAAATCTATTTAAAGTAAGTAAAGAAAGTTAAACAATTTGAATCATATATTCTACATATTTTCACTAACACTTTCTTAAAATCGTTGAGGTGTGAATTTTGGACAATTTATCGACAAGTGAACAACAAAAATGTATCCTATGAGCAATGCTTTGTCCATTTAAACCTATATTCATTTATATCTGCAATCTTGTAATTAGTGCAATTTTTTCGCCATTACTTTATAAAGAAACTTTGAATTTTCACGAATACTTATTTCAATTGAGAGATTTCCTGAATATAATCGAGATTTTTGGTACCATCAATATTCAATACGATGGAAATTTTCGTTTTGTTGCAAATTATTATTTGGATTATAAGTAAACAGATTCTATAGCTTGTGAAGGTGTGATTCTTCTGTTTCTAGAATTTGTTAATCAATAAAAACAAATGAATGTTCAAAACATTTTTGAAATTCACTAATATCTAATTTTGACTGTCTGTTAACTTGCGTGTTAATTTACTCTAATTTTTAGGCATGTATTTTCATTTATCAAATAACATTGTGTCTATATTCAAAATTATATTTAATACATAGTTTTAATTATCATTTCAACAACAAATATTAAAATCATTTTGTTTCCATCTCGTTTTCGAAAACATAATAAAATGGCGAAAAAAACTTATTCAGTACTTTGCCGTGTGGTTCATCGCAACTGGTCATTTGGTGATTAGTGAGTTCTCGGAGATACATCAACGAGATGAACCTTTGATAAAGGATAATTCAAATAACATTGGCAGTCTTTCCGTAAACATTCAAAAGTTTTCCACTTTAAAAATGCTTGATCCAATTGATGAGTCACGTACACCATTGGTACCGCACAAACGTGTAAAACGCCTTCACATTTTCAGACCGCTGTTTGTCTATCGACAAGAACAAATTGCACGAAAACGTATTATAGAAAACCGAAAATACAACAATCGGAAGATAAACCGTAAATATGTTAATACTGAAGCGCCATTCTGTAAATGTAATAAATATTATAATTAGTCGAAATAAGGGTACATAAAAAATACGAACGAAGGAAACAAACGCATTTCAAATGTAATGGCCAGGAAAAGTGCTAGATAAAAAAATATGTAAATAAATAAATTGTTATATATTATTATTATTTCATTTTTTAATTTAAATTTTCTTTCGATTTCAATATTTCTTTTAGAAATGAACACCGTTGATTAAAAGGAATATCTTGAAACAAGAAATATTTGAAGCAGTGAATGAAATGTACCGATGTTCTACCCCGAATTGGATCTTTTTGGCTCAAAAATGCTATCCGAATGTTGCAAACATTTTGATTAAAACTTTTTTTTTAAACTATACATTTTCAATTTCTACGATGTATAAAAATTAATTTATACTATAGAAATAGATATCTGAACGCATTCAGACATTTTGTGAATAAAAACTTACTCTCTTTTGTCAAAAACCATTTTAACCAATCTTACCATGGAAAAAGATACTCTCATTTATCGTACTACCATTCAGAAAAACATACTTTCCTATAGTCATTTTCCATAGATATGTGCGTAGCGACCAAAATTCCATACAGCCAAAGTCAAATGGTCGCAGCTGTTTTAACAATAGAAAATACAATTAATTGAAGATAAAAGTGTTAACTTTCAATTTAAAATCTCATAACGGCCAAAGTTTAACACCAATAATTGGCCGAAAATAATTCCTTGAAAACCGATTGAACGCTCAACATTTTTTCGAAACCATTATTCGAGTGTCACAAAAAATTCTGTTATTTATAACTTTACATTAAACTCATTTTGACAAAAATTCTTTCATAGCGATCAAATTTCTTTTTGTAGCGACCAAAATTCCAAATCCTCGAAAAGCTGCGACCAAATTTTTTTTTGAAATTTTTAGTAGCGACCATATTTCTTTTTTGACAGCGACCAAAAA